GTGTGCGTGTGCATGTGTGCATGTGTGAGCGCGTGTGTGAGTGTGTGCACACGTGTGTGTGCGTGTGCATGTGTGCATGTGTGAGCGCGTGTGTGTGTGTGGGCAGACATGGATGTGACTCCTGTCATCTGTCGCTTGTTAATCTCACATCTGTGGAGGCGGGCTCAGGAATCTGACAGACCTGGTTTAAATCCTGATTCCACCACTGAGTGACTGTGTGACTTGGTCCTTGGAGCCTCAGTTTTCCTGTCTACAAAGTGGGGTAATGGGTTTGCGAAGATCTTGCAGCTCGATGCATGTGAAGTGCCCGGGTGGCTGCCAGGCACACAATGAATGCTCAGTAGAAGTTAGCCATTAATCACAGTGACCACGAAACGCCTGTCTAGTGACTCCTATGACACCCCCCCAACCCCCCGCACCTGTCCCACCTCCACAGCGCGGGGCAGGACCCGGGTCTGGGGGCCATCTGTCAACAGGACGGGCAAGGTCGGCTTCCTCTCCAGGTGCAGGAGCCAGGGTCCTTCCTCCTCATTCCCCTTTGTAGCGTCTGGGACCCGAGAGTCGCCGAGTGCTTCCTGATGTCTGAGCACAGTCTCTCCGGCTCTGATCCTGGGCCACGTCCTCTGAGAATATGGCCATGTCCCCTTTGGAATCATCTGTTTGTCTTTAATGCTTGAAACCCAGCCCCCAAGCTTGGACTCACGGAGTTAGACGCTCGCTGGCGTCATGCTGTTCAGCCCTGTGCACAGGGCGGGGGGGCCCAGGTCCCTCCGGTCATCCTCTCTCTCCACCTTCACACCTGCATCGTGTCCCGAGGCTGTTGTGCGGGGCACTTGCGGGGTTTATGGGTTCTCCTCATGGATAAACCCCTGTGGGGAGGCTTTGTAAAGGACGTGTTATTGTTTTGTTGTTATTGTTTTGCTGGAGGTACGTTCTCTCCCAATTTATTACCCAGGAGCACAGGCCCTCCCATCAGATGCTGCGGAGAGGGGCAGAGACCCCCCACCCTGCCCTGAGGGGAGGAGCCAGGGGCGGGGAAGAGGAGGAGCCTGGAGGATTTGACCTCTCCCCGACACACATGCGTGCACACCTGCATGCACGCATGCACACGCAGTACCCAAGAGGGCACACAACCCGTGTACACATACACACATGTGCACATACACACGTGCACTTACACACATGTGCACATACACACGTGCACTTACACACACGAATACATGCACCCGCCCACCTTGGCGGCCTCGACAGCTCTCCCCACCCCTACGCCAGGGGACCCAGAGCAGGAGGTGATGCTGACCACCAAGACTCCCAAGGCCACAGTGGGCGGCCTGAGCCCCTCCAAGGGGTACACCGTGCAGATCTTCGAGCTCACCAGCTCAGGGAATGTCCTGCTGGCTCGGAAGGAGTTTGTGAGTAAGTCTGCTGTCCCCACACGGAATTCCAGCCTCTGGGGGTGAGTGTGTGTGGGAAGGAGGCCAGAGCTGGACTCTGGGCTGGGAGCCCCAGGCCTGGGTTCGAGTGCTGGCTCCCCATGCAGCCGCCCAGGAACCTTGCTTACAGCTCCTGACACCCCTGCTTGCCTCTCAGGGGGCCGGGGGACCCACAGAGCCTGCAATGTGCCCTTGTGGGGAGGGTTGTGTGTGCAGGCCCCCCATGACCCCCAGGCCTCTGCTCCCACCCTGGGCGGTGGGGTCCTGACAGCCCCTCGGATCTCTCTGCAGTTGAGGATTTGAAGAGTAACTCCGAGGGCAGGAGCAGCCAGAGGCCACTGGGGAAAGCCCTGGAGCCCACCCGCTCCCACGGGGGGAGCCCAGGCCCTGAGCCCCGAGTTGCCTTGGTCCCAAACCAGGACCCGCCCCCTCTTGGTGGGTCAAAGTGGGGTGAGGGTAAGTCTCTGGGGGGAGGAAGTAATCCTCAGCATCTCACGTTTCTCTCTATGTGGCTGGGAAGTTCCTCCTCACATCTGACCTCACACTCTCTAGCTTTACCTGAAGCTTGCCTGCCACCCTCCTGGGTTCCCTCTGACCTCTGAGGGCAGGTCATCTGCTGGGGGTATACACGGGGCCCCAGTGCCCGGTGCCCCCAGCCTGAGTGTGGCAAGTGAGAGATGACACAGCTGTGACCTCCCCCAGGAGTGCCCGGCGAGGAGCAGCACCCACTGAGGGGCCCCGGGGGGAAGGCGCCTGCTCAGCCCACCCCAGACCTGGAGAGGCAGAGCTGCACCAGGGCGTCTGCTGGAGGGAGAGAGAAGCCAGGTAGAACGGCAGGGCACCAGCCTCTGCCGGCCTGCGGGGCGGGGGCCACTGTGGGACCCGGGGCAGGGAAGACAGGCCTGGCATTTTCTGCCGGCCCACGAGGCTCTGCGGGCAGGGCTGTGCCTCCTTCATCAGACCTGGATGTTCCTGACTTTGTCGCCCCATCAGACTTGGAAGGGAAGGAGGTGTTTCCCTCCTCAGAAGGCCATATCCCCTCTCACGTAGGGTCTGGGGTCCGGGGCCCCTGCTGTCTCCAAGTGGACTTGGGGTCCGCCGGGGTGGTCTCCCCACCATGCAGGGCCTTGAGAGCAGGGCTGTGCCTCCCCATTTGACGGGGGTCTCACTGCACTTACCCTGCCCAGGAGGCTCCGCATGGGGTCTGGCCCTGGTTCTGGGGCTCCACCTGGAGGTGCTGTCTGTGTAAAACTCTCAGGCAGCCCCAGACCCGGGGGTGTGGTTTTGTCTTCAAAGAGACCCTGGATCCTCAGGACCTCCCACCCCAGACAGTGGAGCCTCAGCCCAGAGCTGGGCAAATGGGCGGCTCCCAGCCCTGCCTGTAGCTGTCCGCGGTGCTGACCCCTCACCCACCCCAGCCACTGCCCTCTGCTTGGGTGTCCACCGGGCTGGGAAGGCAGACCCACATAGCAGCCCCCCGCATGGACACCGCGCACAGTGACCAGCCCTGCCAAGGCCGCTGGAACACCTGGTGTCTCATTGACCGTTTTGTGGGGCTTGGACCCAGGTTCATGTGGGGTTTTCTAAGTGGTGAGATCTAACCGCCTCACTGGGGGCCAGAGCCCCGTGGCCCCTCACCCTCCACCAGCCCCAGGGCAGGAGAATCTGGGGGCTGGAGCCCGGCTCAGAGCAGCTCGGGGTCCTGTAGCGGCCTTGGGCGTCACCTGGCATCTCACCTCCTCCTCGCCTGCCCAGCCGGCCCCCAGTTCCGCTGTACACCCCCCACACCCGTGGACATGATCTTCCTGGTGGATGGGTCCTGGAGTATTGGCCACGGGCACTTCCAGGAGGTCAAAGACTTCGTGGCCAGCGTCATCGAGCCCTTTGAAATCGGGCCGGATAAAGTCCAAGTAGGTGGGTACCCAGCCCCAGCCCAGGCCAGACCCGTCCCAGGAAGCTGGCCATGGAGGTAGACTCGGCAGCCTCCTGGGGAAACCAGAGGAGAGCTCTCTGCAGCCCACGGGCCGACTGCCCCACTGGCCAGGACGGGGGGTGGGCCCTGGGCTGGAGGAACGGCCTGCCCTTTGGGGCAGTTCTGTGACTCCTCTGGGTGGGAAGCGGGGCTTTGCCAGCATGCACCCTCTCTGGTGACCCCGGGTAAGGCTGCATGCAGAGCAGGCACTGGGGACGTGCGTCTTGCCCCCTCGGCACTGCAGCTGGCCATGCGTGGCCTCTCCCCTCCAGGCCTGACTCAGTACAGTGGAGAGCCCCAGACCGAGTGGGACCTGAACGCCTTTGGCACCAAGGAGGAGGTGCTGGCAGCCGTCCGCGGTCTCTGCTACAAAGGGGGAAACACGTTCACAGGTCTGCCTGGGCCCCGTGCCCCCACCCTCGGGGGTCTGCTCAGGTCTGTCCTGTTGCCCCTCGCTCCATCCTGCGGGTCAGCCTCCTCTTACCCGCTCCCAGAGCTGAATGTGTAATGAATCAGGCCCAAGGGTTGTGTGGACCCTGAGCACCACTCATGTCCCTGTAAAGGGCACGTCAGCCCTGTTAGTCTGGAAAAACGTGGGTTTCTGTCGGGCAGTCTTGCTGAGACTGACAGAAGCTTCAGGGAGGGGCCCACCAGTGGGCTTGGGCGTGGCCTTGGTGGAAGCAGCCCCCTTGGGGTGCCCCCCACGGGCAGACCCCTCCCTGTTCCCGCATCCTAGGGCCTCGATGCTCCCAGTGCTGATGCCAGCTGGTCGAGGGGCAGGGTGTGGGGAACTGGCCCTCGGGTCTCGAGGTGCCGTTGAGGGAAGGAGAGGTGGTGTCCCTGCTCTGCAGGCACCTCCCGCTGGATGGGACCAGGACTGACACGGCGGGCAGAGCGCTGGGGCCAGAGGCTGGTGGAGCGGTCTTGGGCAGGGAGGACTCCAGGAGGGGTGTGGGGCTGCATGTGCTTCTTTCTCACTGCACCTAAGGCCTGGCCCTGACCCATGTGCTGGGGCAGAACCTGAAGCCTGCAGCGGGTCCCCGTCCAGAGGCAGCGAAGGTGGTGATCCTAGTGACGGACGGCAAGTCCCAGGACGACGCCCGCACTGCTGGCCACGTCCTCAAGGACCTGGGTGTGGACGTCTTTGCTGTGGGTGAGCAGCCCCCGGGCTCTCACTGGAGTTCTCACAGCTGGCTCGGCCCCTGGCCGCAGTGGGAGTTGGCACCCCGGCTTCACCCTGGGCTGGAGGTCTCGTGGCCTCTCTGAGACTCAGCCCCGCCTCTTTGAAACGGGGAGGACAAGTCTCGGCTCCAAGGAGCTGGGTGACGATGTGCATAAGCGAGGAGCTGAGCGCCGCGGGTGTGCCTGCCCCCTGTCCTGGCGAATTGGCCAGTTTGCAGCTTCGTCTGTGGATACCTCCCGGCCCAGCTTGCCCTCTGCATGGTGCCCTGCTCGCTGCACCATAGCCCAGCTCCCGTCAGGGCCTCGCTCGACTTGCTTAACTGGCCAATTACTAACTCTGTCCTTTGAGAAGGAAACTCCAGATTTGGGGGCAGATTCTGGGAGCAGAGACCCTTCTTGCTCCCCCAAATCCTCTCCTGCATACTCCACCCCAGCTCCCTGGGTGTTCGGTTAGATCAGCAGGGCGTGCTCAGGACCCCAAGGAAGGCACACTGGCCTCCCTCCTCGCCCCAGATGCTGCGAGACCGCGGCAGGCACAGTACCGCCTGCAAGGGGCCATCCAGGGCCTCGCCCCACCTTTGCACCAGCCCCCAAGCCATCTCTCATGGGCACCTGCCAGGTGACCCCTCTCTGGGGCCCATGGGGTCTTGGGTACGTGGCTTGGGAAGGCCCCCCCACCCGCTGGGTGGCTCAGCCTGGGGGCCCAGCAGTCCCAGCTGTAAGATGAGTGGGCACGTCCTTACCCTCTGCACCGTGTGGGCAGGCGTGAAGAATGCTGACGAGGCAGAGCTGCGGCTCCTGGCATCCCAGCCGCTGGATGTCACCGTCCACAACGTGCAGGACTTCCCCCAGCTCGGCACGCTGGCTGGCCTGCTCAGCCGCCTCATCTGCCAGAAGGTCCAGGCCAGGAGCCCGCGTCAGGGCCCAGGTGAGCAGGTGGGTGGTGACGCCAGGGCACGGTCACCCACGCCGGCCACTTTGGGCAGAGGGACAGGGCCTGTGGCTCCGGTAAGGAGTGCACTGAGCTCGCTCCCACCCCAGTTCTCATGGCCCTGACGGGGTCTGCAGTCCCACCTGGGGAACACTGTCCCTCCTGGAAGTGGCCACCAGAGGGAGCAGATGGAGCTGCTAATGCCAGTCGCCCACTGGGGCTGTTGACCATCCCCCTCCCCGCCCACAGTGACGCAGGTAGCTGCCGCTGTGGCCCTGGACCCCCTCTCAGCTCCTACCAGCCTGGTCCTGACCCAGGTGACCTCGTCCAGCGTCCACCTGTCCTGGACTCCAACCTCGAAGACACCCCTCAAGTATCTGATCGTGTGGCGGCCTTCCAGGGGCGGTGCCCCCAGGGAGGTGAGAGCTGGCCCCTGCCTGCCCCTGCAACCTCAGGGCCCACGGGTGACCGAGTTGACGTGGAGAGAGTGGGGCGCAGGTGGGGTGGGGAGCAGAGTGGGGGGAGCGGAGTGGGGGGGCGCGGAGGGGGGGGCGCGGAGTGGGGGGCGCCGGTGGGGTGGGGAGCGGAGTGGGGGGAAGCGGAGTTGGGGGAGCGGAGTGGGGCGCCCTCCCAAGCCCGCAGCCACCACGAAGCCAGAGTCCTGAATGTCCTCCGACTGCCAGGGGCGGGGCGACGCTTCTGGTGACAGGTGGGTGGCCAGGAGCTGCTCTGCTCCCAAAGCCAGGGACGCCGCCAAGCAGGAAGCAAGCCCCGACCCCAGCCCTCCCTCGAGCTGTTTCCCGGTGCCCCCTGCGCCCACCCTGCCCGCCACTGCCGCTCCTCTTCCAGGTGGAGCTGGAGGGGCCCACCGCGTCCCTGGAGCTGCACAACCTGACTTCCAGCACGGAGTACCTGGTGTCTGTGTTCCCCATCTACGAGACTGGGGTCGGCGAGGGCCTGTGGGGCCTGGTGACCACAGGTGGGCAGGATGGAGGTGGGCCCAGGCTTCTGGTGGGGGCGGCTTACCCCTACCCACAGCATCCCTTTGGAGCCTGGCACCAGCAAGGGTGGGGCAGTGGGCAGTCCTGGGTCTTAACCTGGGTGGGGCACCTTCCCCAACTTGCTGTGTGACCAAGGCCGAGTCACTGGGCCTCTCTGACCCTCAGTGTCCTTTTCTGAACACAAGCAGCATCATTGTGTCATCACCATAGTCACAGCTAGGGCCCATTCCTGTCACTGCTCAGGTGGTTTATGGAGCTCCTGCCCTGCCTGGCCTGCAGGCCCCCAGGGATGCCATGAGCCCCTTCAACAGCTTCACTGAGATATACCCTACAACTCCCCACTTAAAGTGTGCAATTCAGTGGTTGCTAGTGCATTCACAATGGTGCGCCCGTCACCCCTAATCTGCTTTCTGTCTCTGGGATTTGCCATTTCTGGACCTTTCGTACAAATGGGACCGCACAGTATGTGGCCTTTCCTGTCTGGCTTCTTCATGGAGCCCTTTTAACCCCTAGAGGCCACAGCCCTCCCACCTGAGGGTAAGTGGCCTTAAACAGAAACCCACGGGGTGGCCGTGTTTCCCCAGAGCTGTGAGCCGAAGACTTGGTCCAGGGTGGAGTCTGGGGACAGGGACGCAGAACTGTCTGCGGGCCTCCTGCCCCAGGGCTGTTCCTCCGCCTCTGGGTCTCATGGAGACACACGCACGGCACACTTCCAAGATCCTGGGTGGGATTCCTGCCTGTGCCCAGTTCCGAAAGTGCCCCCCCTCCCCCAGCGCCTCTACCTCCGCCCCAGGCACTGACCCTGGCTGCAGTGACACCCAGAACCATCCACCTGGCCTGGCAGCCCTCAGCCGCGGCCACCCAGTACCTGGTGCGATGCTCACCCGCCTCCCCCAAGGGCGAGGAGGAGGGGAGAGAGGTGTGTGGCCTCAGCCTGTGAAGGCGGGGGTGAGAAGGGGCCGCAGCCGGCAGGGGTCACCGTGTGTGCCGTGCCCCTGCAGGTGCGGGTGGGGCGGCCAGAGGTGCTGCTGGACGGCCTGGAGCCGGGCAGGGACTATGACATCTGGGTGCAGAGCCTGCGAGGGGCAGAGGCCAGTGAGGCCAGGGGTGTGCACACCAGGACCCGTGAGTGCAGAGGCCCCACTCCGGTCCCCTGAGCCTTCCACGGGGTAGAGGATACCAGACCCTACCTGGTGGCCCCACCAGCCCTGACCAACACCCACCCTTCCCCCATACACGTGGGGAGGGGGTGGCAGCAGGTCCCTGAGGCATTGGTGTGCTCCGCAGCCGCCCTGGCCCCCACCAGACTGGGCTTCTCAGACGTGAGCCACGACTCGGCCCGCGTGTCCTGGGAGGGCACTCCGAGGCCTGTGCGCCTCTTCAGGGTCAGCTACGTCTCCAGCGAGGGCGGACACTCAGGGCAGGTGAGGGCAGGCCCTGTCTGGGGCCCAGTGTCCTGTGGGGCCACTGGGGCACCTGGCATCCAGGGGGCATGAAGTGTCCACGGGGGGCCCAGTGCCCTCAGTGCCCCCCAGCCCCCCGCCCCCGGTGCACCCCTGCATTTGCTGTCACCGGGTGTTGGCTGCGTCTCCCAGGCACCAGCCTCGGCCTGGGGCACAGAAAGCTCAGAGCCGTGTCCCGGCCCTTGGGGGCCCCAGGCTGGTGGGGGCGGGGAGGAGACAGACATGGAGCAGACATCAGACAGATCCACGTAGAAGACAGCGTGAGGTGTGCGGGGGCACGTGGTGTGGTGAGAGGCTGTCTTGCGGGGGCAGGTGAACGAGGCCCCAAGGCCCCAGTGTGGCAGGTCCCACAACCCGTCCCCCGTCCGTGCCAGTTTCCCCACTCTGGGGTGGCCATGGGGCAGTCCTGGCTAGCCGGTCCCGGGCCTGGGTCTCCATCCTGGCAGGGGCTACCCCCTCCCTGGCCTGGGGATTCGGCTCCAGGCCCTGCCGGTGTCCCCCCCCGCCCGCCTTGCAGACAGAGGCTCCCGGGAATGCCACGTCGGCCACCCTGGGTCCCCTCTCCTCCTCTACCACGTACACTGTCCGAGTCACCTGCCTCTACCCTGGGGGCAGCTCCTCTACGCTGACCGGCCGCCTGACCACACGTACGTGGGCAGAGGTTGGGGTGGGGATCCCAGGGCCGGGCTGCATCCTTCTGCCCCCACAGACAGTTCAAATCAACACATATGCTTAGGCATCTGCTCTGTGCAGTGCTGAGCCAGGTGGAGATGGGTGGACAGGTGTGATGGTGGCGTGCAGGGCCCTCAGCAGGACACAGGGTCCCAGGGGCTGAGCAGAGACGGGGGGCTGGGGCACCTCCAGGAAGCAGGGCCTGTGCCCAGCCTGCAGCCCAGTCCTGGGAAAGGGGGAAGTGTGGCACAGCTGCTGTGTGGGGCCTGGGGGTCCCCTCTGCCCCCAAGAGCCTTCTCTCCAAGTGTGGCCCTGTGCCAGTGAAGCCTCCTACGGGCACCTGAGCCGGGGATGGGGGAGCAACCTCTGAGCCTCAGGGGGGCGGGGGGCCTCCTCTCCAGGCAGTTGTCCTGCTCTGGGCCCTGCTACCCAGCCTCTGTCTCCCTCTTCCATCCTCCAGGGAAAGTCCCCAGCCCGAGCCAGCTGTCGGTGACAGAGCTCTCTGGGGACAAGGTTCGGCTGGAGTGGGCAGCGCCAGTGGCATCCGGTGTGCTCGTCTACCAGATCAAGTGGATGCCCCTGGGAGACGGGAAGGCCCATGAGGTGTGGGGTGGGGAGAGAGGACCCGTTTCCCACACCCCAGCTCCAGGGGACGCTCAGACCCCAGTGGTGCATCTCAGGGACAGCTGCCTGCCCGTGGCCTGTGAGGACACCACTCCACAGGGTGGACACCTGGTCCTTCCTCTCTGCAGATCTCTGTCCCAGGGAACCTGGGCACGGCCATCCTGCCCGGCCTGGGGAGGCACTCGGAGTACGAAATCACCATCCTGGCCTACTACAGGGACGGGGCCCACAGCGACCCCGTGTCCCTCCACTATACCCCCCGTAGGTGACCCCTGCTCTGCCCCTCAGCTGCGTGCTGGGCAGGAACAGCCCAGTGGGACCCCAGACCCCCCAGTTCCATGGCCCAGGACCCCAAACTCCCAGAACTGCTGACAGGCAGTTCCCCAAGTCCCTGACCCTCCAGCCTGCCTGCTTGGTCCCCAGGGCCTCCCTGAGCCCTCCAGGCAGGTGTTCCTGGGGTGGCTGAGGGTCTAAGTCACCACGTGTGACACAGTGCTCAAGACGGTCCCAGAGCTGACCTGGTGGCCCTGTCTGTGCTGAGGCCACCAGGCAGCAGGCGTGGCGGGGGCAGTGGGGGCAGTGGGCGTGGTACAGAGCTCAGTGGGCCCTCCACCACCTGTGCTCTCCTCACAGTCAGCCGGAGCCCGCCCTCCAACCTGGCCCTGGCCTCCGAGTCACCCAACAGCCTGCGGGTCAGCTGGACACCCCCGAGCGACCACGTCCTCCACTACCGGCTCACCTACACGCTGGCCTCGGGCTCGGGACCCGAGAAATCGGTGGGTCTTGGTGGAGCTGGGAAGCTGACGCCCCTCGTGGGTCCCTGGGTCCTGGGGCAATGGGGCAGACACAGCCACCCTGTCTGTTGAGAGTGGCAGCCCTTCCGGGGCAGGACACGCAGACAGAAGGGAGTGAAGATGCCTAGACGAGCAAAGACGCTTCGGAGGGGCATCTCAGGGGAACCTGTCCCCCCCAGATCTTCGTTCCAGGACCCAGGAGCCACGTGATACTCCCAGATCTGCTAGCAGCCACCAAGTACAGGGTTCTGGTCTCTGCAGTCTATGGAGCAGGGGAGAGTATGGCAGTGTCAGCCACGGGCAGGACGGGTGAGTGGGCGCCAAGACCCAGACCCCGGCCAGACCCCAGACGCCAGACCCAGCCAGGCCCCAGACCTTCAGACCCAGTCAGGCCCCCAGACCTCAGCCGGACTCCCACATCCCAGCCAGGCCCCCAGACTCTATCCAGGCCCCCAGGCCCCACCTGGGCCCCAAGGCTCCAGACCCAAGCCAGGTCCCAGACCCCAGCCAGGCTACCAGACCCCAGCCAGGCTACCAGACCCCAGTCAGAATCCTACACCCTAGCCAGACCCCAGACCCTTAGACCCAGCCAGGCCCAAGATCCCAGTCAGAATCCTACACCCTAGCCAGACCCCAGACCCTCAGATCCAGCCAGGCCCCAGATCCTCAGACCCAGCCAGGCCCCAGACCTTCAGACCCAGCCAGACCTCAGACCCCAGACCCCAGACCCCAGACCCCAGACCCCAGACCCAGCCAGGCCCCTGATCCTCAGACCCAGCCAGGCCCCAGACCCTCAGACCCAGCCAGAGCCCAGACCCTCAGACCCAGCCAAACCCAAGACCCCAGACCCCTGCCAGGCCCAAGATCCCCAGACCCATGCCAGGTCCCCAGACTCAGCCAGACCTCGGAAGCCAGACCCAGCCAGGACCCTAGACCCTCAGACCCAGCCAGGCCCCCAGACCCCAGACCCAGCCAGGCCCCAAACCCTCAGACCCAGTCAGGCCCTCAGATCTCAGCCAGACTCCCCCACTCCAGCCAGGCCCCCAGACCCCAGCCAGGCTACGAGATCTCAGCCAGAATCCTACCCCCAGCCAGGCCCCTGACCCTCAGACCCAGCCAGACCCCAGACCCTCAGACCTAGCCAGACCCCAGACCCCAGAGCCAGCCAGGCCTCAGACCCTCAGACCCAGCCAGGCCCCAGACCCTCAGACCCAGCCAGGACCCTGACCCTCAGACTCAGCCAGACCCCAGACTCTCAGACCCAGCCAGATCCCAGACCCTCAGACCCCTGCCAGATCCCCAACTCAGCCAGACCCCAGATGCCAGACCCAGCCAGGCCCCAGACCCTCAGACTCCTGCCAGGTCCCCAGACCCAGCCAGGCCCCAGACCCTCAGACCCAGCCAGGCCCCAGACCCCAGAGCCAGCCAGGCCCCTGACCCTCAGACCC